TAACCTTTCACTTCCAGCTTTCCCACTGACACATATGACCGATAACAGGATCCAGGGTCCCCCCGGCACAGGCAAAACTGTTACATCTGCAACGATCATCTACCACCTTGCCAAAAGTACTGGGAGTCAGGTCCTCGTTTGTGCACCCTCGAACGTGGCCGTCGACCAGCTCTGCGAGCGGGTTCATCGGACGGGTCTCAAAGTTGTCCGCCTCACAGCCAAATCGCGCGAGGATGTCGAGTCAGCTGTCGGCTTCCTAGCCCTCCACGAACAAGTGCATATGAATGACAGCAACGGAGAGCTGGTTAAGCTCATGCAGCTCAAAGCCGAGTACGGCGAACTATCTAGCCAGGACGAAAAGAAGTTCAAGCAGCTGACCAAAGTGGCCGAGCGCGACATCTTGCATAATGCCGACGTGGTTTGCTGCACCTGCGTGGGTGCTGGCGATCCGCGTCTGTCCAAGATGAAGTTCCGGAATGTCCTGATAGACGAGTCAACGCAGTCGGCCGAGCCGGAATGCATCATCCCACTCGTGCTGGGTTGTAAGCAGGTTGTTCTGGTCGGCGACCACAAGCAGCTCGGACCGGTCATCATGAACAAGAAGGCGGCAAAAGCGGGCCTGAACCAGTCGCTTTTCGAGCGCCTTGTCAACCTGCGGCTGCAGCCGATTCGGCTGAATATCCAGTACCGCATGCATCCCTGCCTATCCGAGTTTCCTTCGAACATGTTCTACGACGGCTCCCTCCAGAACGGCGTCACCCACGCGAATCGGCTCCGTCGCGATGTCGACTTCCCATGGCCGGTGGCGGATACTCCCATGATGTTCTGGTCGAACTTGGGCAACGAGGAGATTTCCGCATCGGGAACGTCGTACCTGAACCGCACCGAAGCGTCGAACGTCGAGAAGGTGGTCACGCGCTTCTTCAAGGCGGGGGTCAAGCCTGTCGATATCGGCGTCATCACTCCGTACGAAGGCCAGCGAAGCTACATCGTCAGCACGATGCAGAACACGGGCACGTTCAAGAAGGAAAGCTACAGGGAGGTCGAGGTGGCGTCGGTGGATGCGTTCCAGGGCCGAGAAAAGGACTTTATCGTCTTGTCTTGCGTGCGGTCCAACGACAACCAGGGCATCGGTTTCCTGTCAGACCCGAGGCGTCTCAATGTAGCTCTGACGCGAGCCAAGTATGGCCTCGTCATCATCGGAAACCCCAAGGTGCTGTCGAAGCATGAGCTGTGGCACCACCTCCTGGTGCACTACAAGGACCGGAAGTGCTTGGTGGAGGGACCGTTGACCAACCTGCAGACGTCTCTCCTCCAGTTTACCCGGCCCAAAATGCCATATCGCCAGAAGCCCAGCCAGAACCACTTCTCTGGTGGGGGTGGACATGCCAATGGTAATAATGGTCATGGTCATGGTCATGGTCATGGTCATGGTCATGGTCATGGTCATAATCAGCGTTACAATGCGCCGGGGTCGGTCCGCGACTTTGACACGGGATCGATGCTGTCGTACATTCCGGATGATGTCTCGTCGATCCACGGGTCGACCCTTGGCGGAGCTGGCCTCAACACGACGTTCCCGGCGATGTTCTCGAGCTTCGCACCGGAGCAGTGGCCGGGCCTGCCGGGCGTACCGGTCGGTCGATCTGGCAACCGGAGGGGGGGACGCGGCACGGAAAGCGTCGCCGGCGAGAGTGTGGCGAATTCGGAATACACAGACGGGACGTCCAGTGTCATCGGCTCCAAGGGCGTCGGCCAGGGGGGCGCCAGTCTCGGTGCGGGCCTCCAGGATGCCATCCATGGCATGCGGCCGGCGTCGTACAGCCGCAGCGATCGGCTCTCGCAATACGTCACGGCGACGAGCAGCAGTCACCACCGCATGGGGCCGGGCAACGGGTTTGGTCACGGTCGCCGATACGACGACGACGAGAAGAGCGTTAGCACCGCTTTCCACAGCCAGGTCGGCGGCGGTTTCGACTGAAGTTTCTTTTTCTTTAGACGGCAGAGTGAATTAGCGTACGACGTATTCTGACGGATCCGGGGCTCGAGTGCCAGGAGTAGCGCACGACTCGCGCGTGGTGCCAGAAGAGACGACCATGAGCTCGCTGCTGCCCCAGCACCACGGCTCGACGCCCGGAACTTGTCGGTAGAGAGATATGGTCAACTGTGACTGTGTCGGACAAGACAAAAGACGCGCTGTAGAGAATTGGCCCATGGGCAGACAAAGGCAACCTCGGCAGCTGGGACAGCTACCGGCTCGACTCGCGTTTCGCAGACACAGCGGGTGGTACGGTGACCTAACGAATCCATGGCCGGCTGTCAGGGCTGGGCGGCAATGATCAGGGACGGGTTGTCTCCCGGCCCAGTTGCCATAGGATCTATGAAGGAGGAGGATGGTGATGCATGGGTTGATCACCGGGGGCACAAAGAAGCTCAGGCGGGCGAGGCAGGGATGAAGATCTAGGGTTGACGACTTCGCCACGGCAGCAAAGTTCTGAGGGGATACATCTGAGAAGTTTGCCAATGGGGGAATGAGGTGTTGATGCCGTGGTAGCTCCCTCCTGGCCACTCGAAGGAGGTCATCTTCGCGACTGTTTTCAACCCACTGACATGCAGTTTGTCCGATTCCCCAACCCCTCCATGGCTGGTCCGTTCGTTGGCATTCTGCCACCCGCACACGCCCCTGTTAGTTATTAGCAGGCGGATGTGTGCGTGAGGAGGTTCTCGGTTCTCTTCCCAGGTGTTGGACATGATGGTCGCGTTCGGTCGAGCGCAATCTAGCCTTCATTTGCTGTCATAATCCCGACAGCCTAGCAGCAATCCGGAATCGGCCGAGTAGAATTACGGACCGCTAAGGGGTAGGTAGGTAGGTATGACTAGGTAGTTTTTAACAGGTCGCTCTTTTTTTTGCAAAATGTCGTACTGAAGCGTCAACATGGTTCTATGAGTGCACGCTGAGGTCCTAAAAAAAAAGGTACAGGGCAGCCTTCGTAGGTAAGGTACCTAGCGTACCTTAGCTTTCGGTTCATTTAAGCGGTTCGGCGTGCCTCGATTAGCGCTGAGAGCCTAAAGTTCTGCGGAGTACCAAACGGTGACTTCTCAACCAATCACCAACACCAGGGGTCAGGCACAGCCACAGCCACAGCCAGCCAGCCACACCAGAACCCCGGGCTAATAATCCATACGGTACCTTACCTTACTAATCAGTTCGGATAGGTATGAGGGCACTTGGCAGATACTGAGTATTCATACCTTTCTTTACCCACCTTAGGTACCGTACCGTAGGGAGGTGGGATAGAACATACGAATCGAGAGGCAATGGACTGTACGAAGTAGCCTTGACATAAATAAGGTACCTACTGCGTTGAGGGAACGGCGAGCATATAACTACCTTATTGATTTCTCTTGCCTTGATAACTACCTTACCTGATTACTCCTTACTGGAGTAAAAGACATGTCGTTTAGCAAAACCACGTCCGATGTAACGAGATGCCAATGAACGACCGCCCTAGTCCCGATTCCGCCGATGTCTCCGGTTCCTCCGCTTTTCCTCCGCGTACTCACTCCCGACAGCGCTGGCCTCCTCCTCGAGAAGCCTATGATGGTAGCTTCGGGTGCCCAAGTCGCTTTCGTCACAGCCAGAACTGGGGACAGTACTGGGCGCCTCGATCCGGTTCCCACGCTCCAAGCCAACGTCGCTCTCGGAGATGGTGCTGTGTCCCCTCTGGAAGCTGAAGTCTCGCCGCGACGAGCTCGCACGGGGCGGGTTCGCACGAGCCGCGCGTCCGCGTTCCTGCAGCCGCCGTGCCTCGGCGCGGATCCGTTCATTTTCCCGGCTCGCGGTCCTGTCGGCCGTGCTGTAGACCTTGCGAATGCCGCCGCCAGCCGGCTTCTTCGTCGGAGTCGACGTCGGGGTCTCCTCGCGGTGGGAGAGCAGGCTCGAGACCACCGTCGACTCGGCCGGGTTCGTGCTGCCGTCCCACTCGCTCGCCTCGGACTCCTTGTTGAGACCGCCGACGCGGGCGGGCTTTTCGTGGCGGTAGCTGCGGAGGTGTTTCTTGGCTTCGCGCTCCGCCTCTTCGTCGATGAGCTGGCCCGTTTCGTCCACGCGCCGTCCTCCTCCTCCGGAGGCGCTCTGCCTCTTCTCCTTGCGGCTGGCCTCGCGTTCCCGCTCCCGCTCCCGCTCCCGCCGCCTGCGCTTCTTCTCCCGCTTCTCGCGCGCCGCGATGTCGCTCGCCCCCGCCGTGATGCCGCTCAGCCCGGTCGAGTCGGTGACGGTGGTCTTGGCGTCGTCGAAGTCCTTGTAGATGCTTCCCCCGCCCAGATCCGTCGTCCGCGTCGCTCCCGAGAGCACGGTGCCGTTGGGTCCTTTGCGCCGCAGGACGGTCGATTTGTAGTCGTCCCAATCGTCTTCCTTGAAGTAAAAGCCGCCGTTGTTCGCCCAGAAGAAGAACCAGATGCCGACGCAGACAAATGCAGCACCGATAAGGCCGAAAACGACGAAAACAGCTACGTTGTTGATGTCATGCGCATCCACGACGCCCGCGTGAGTGTCGAGGCGCTGGGGAGGGCCACCGTTGTCGTCTCCTTCGTCACGGGCCTTCAGGACGGACCCCGCGGCCAGCGAACCGAAGGAACTGAAGGCTGTTCCCGCAACATCGGAGGGGGAAGGAAAGCGTTCGGATAGGAAGACACGGGCTCGCTGGGTCAACTGAACGGAGACTGCCGGCGCCATAGCTGAGTAGCCAACGTGGGTTGGCTTTGACTGGAATGCAGAAGAATGTTGCAGCGGCTCTGAGGCCCGCAGGAGAACGTGTTTGATTCAGCTAGAAATCTAGCTGGTGCCGAGATGGGGGTTACCAATCAACAACCCAAGAGAATGTAAGTTGTCTAAATTCTCTAGATTCTGGTGAGTGGATGCTTGGGATTAGAAGGAAATTCTCTTCTTTCGTTTCTGTAAGCGAAAACTGAGAGGAGAGACTTAGGGATAGCGTTGTAGGAGTCGAGAAAGAGGTCCTGGGCCTCAACAGCAGGTGTGGGGTTGAGTTGATACAAAGGGCCGGTGTTGCTGAAGAAACCGGGTGGTTGGACTCGAACAGGAAAGGTAAGGTACCCAATCTGCTTTGGTACTCGTACACTAGGTACCTTCCATAGCACCCATGGCTTGTAAGCTCTGTTAGGTACTTCGTCCTTCGGTATTCCCCACCTGTGACTACCCCTGATTACCTTAGCTCATCAACGAGCCTGACGAAGGGAAATCCAATGACGTCAAAGTAAACAATTTTATAGAGCTACCCTGGCAACCAGCTGGGACCAACCAAATCCCACCACGATATCGTACCGTGGATGGGCCTTTGCGGGAAACAGCTCATGTCTTCTTGGCGGAGGAAGCGCCCGACAGTGATGAATTACAAAGTACACGTAGTACGAAGTAGTTACAACGTATAATTACATCTCATTCGACTTTATACGGAGTTGTGATTGATCTGACCGTCCGTAAAACATTTCCTCACTTCATGGGAACACGCAAGACCTAAAGCGTGGGGCGTTTCTGACGCACTTTGTACCTACCCGGGTTTAGGGGGGTATAGGACAGAGCCCGATAACTGGTCAGTCTGTCAACAGTCTTAGAACATCATGTCGACAGAAATTTCTCTGTCCTGGCTCTGGTCAGAGCAAAAGTCTCTGTCCGAGCTCTGACCTATAAACCCCCCCTCCCGGGTAGGTAGTTATTCATTACAAAGTACTTCGTCGCATGATAGTCCGTACACCCTCTGGCTACCTTATGTACCTTACTCCAGGTACCTTAGGCACGGAGTAATACACTCCGTGCCTAGGTACCGACCTCGTCTCTTTATTTTGTATCACGCCCCGTCCCATGGCGTCGTGATATCCAAGGTACGGTAGGTAGTCCGCCACGCCAGGCAAAATTGAGCCTTAATTGATAGTGTGGCCGGATAACGACTCGTCCACTAGCGAATACAGCCGAGAGCCATGGAATAAAATCATTATTGCCAACATAAACAATGACAACTTGGCACACAATTCATAACATTCGTCGCATCGAATCTCGTTACAAAAACCCTCATGTGTCAATTACAGCCCAATTACCCCTAGGATGCTGTCGGGGGCTGAACCCTCGGAGTGACTGTGATAGGAAGAGTTTCCCTTTCCATCAAGCGTCAAAGGGAAAGAGAGATAAAGAGAGAGAGAGAGAAGAAAACGAAAAGAAAAACAAAAGAAAGAAACCGCGACAAACAAAAAGGACAAGTGTGAGATATACCGAGTCACAGAGGAGAGCCAGTCAGATTTCTGCCTGGGGGTATTGGACTCAAAGAATGCAGGGGAAGAACAACCAAACGTGCCCTGCCGGTCATTCTCTAAATGTAGGTGGTCACAGCTAGGTATAGGGAGATACAGCGGCTGTAAACAACAAGACATACATGTTCGCCTGGTTCACGGCGGAAAAGGAAAAGGGCGCAGAAACAGGGATGCCCGAAGAAGTGAACCGAGGACATAGTCAAGGTACAAAGGAAAAGAGGGCAAAAAATAAGAGGAAGAAAAGAAGTAATAAACATCCTGGGATTGACCTTTCCCTCCTGAAACCACCGAGGCGCGAACCTCCTGACTTTCGCCCACACAGAAAATGTCTATCTGATATGTTGATTTCTCTCTTGCATCCAGTTTCAGGACGGATGTAATACGAACAGCGTGAGGGCGAGAACAAAAATCGCTGGCATTGGCTCAGCCATATGCCTCCATTCGAAAGGCCGCGAGGGAAAATATGAAAAGAAAAGAAGGTCCGAATCCAACAGGGAGGAATGTGGAAAATAGGCCGCGTGATAAGCGTGTCGTGGAGAACAATCTGCTGCTGCTGAGGTCTTGAGGCTTGGTTGGGAAAGGCAACCAGATGTCTAACGTAGGAAGACATCAAAACCGGCCGTTGTCCCTTAGCCGCTCCCTGACCCCTCAAGAAGCCGAAGTCCAAAAGTCCAGCTGACCGAGTAAAGGCATCGAGCCCTTTCTCGGACGCAAGAAACAAGACACTCTCTCAACGGCCACTTCCCCCTCTGCCACGCCGTTTGGTTTCGGGGACCTCTTCAAACTTTCGTGATTTCCCGCGCTCCAGAATAGTATCGACATGGACCTCCGAGCACTAATAGCACAGGAATACAGGGAAAATAATAAACCCAAAATATATCGCCACGATGGCGACCGGAATATAGACGCTGCAATGACCAGAAGAGAAACAAACAATAGGGGGGAAGAGAAACAAGAGGGTAAAATTGTCGCATGATGAAACCCCGCAGCGCTTTCGTCAAAACTTTCATTACTTTCGTTCTAATCGTCGTCATGGAGGCTACTCAGAAGAAAGGGGGTCGGCCGCCGTAGCTTTCGTAAGGGTCGTACCCCGCTGGACCACGGTTCCAGGAGGAGGGGGCTTGGCTCGTCGCCCGCGTGCGGATGGGCAGCCGGTCCATTCGGGTCCGCCGGTCGTCGCTGTACACCGAGTCGTCCTTGTCGCTGATACGGCCATTGGCGGGCTGTGTGATGCTGATCTCACCGCCATCCTGGCACTGGATCTCGGCCCCGCCGAGCTTGAGAGTCGCAGACCCTGTGACCCGTATCGTGATGTCCTCGTCCCCCGCCGACGACCTCGTCGTACGGGTCGTATTGCTCTGGCGATAGTCGCTCTCGTCACGACTCTCGCTGCTTCGGGTGGATCGGCTGCTCTTGTCGCTGCTGCGTTGGCCGGCTTTCCGGAGCATCTCGGCCGTCAAGGGCATGGTGTAGCTGCCAGCAACACCGTCCTGGTATGCAGTAGCGGCGCGAAACTTGTCCTCGTAGTCCAGGCTGTCTGCGCTGCCTGCGCTACCCCCATAGTACGAGTGACGCCGCCGGGAGTTCGTCGCCGGCTCGATGCGATACGCGGGGCCTTCTTCGTATGAGACAGAATCGCGCCGAGTTCGCGGCAGAACGGCGCCTTCGCCATAGGCGTAAGAGTAGCTGGCGGATCGCTCAGGGATCTCTCGGTACAGGGACTCGTCGCCGTCGAAGTCGCCGTCGTCGAAAGCAAACCCAAGGGGTTCCCTTCGCTGAACAGGCGGGGGTGGTGGGTGGGAAGGCGGTCCTCTAATGGCGCTCTGTCTCGGAGCCGCAGTGACAGGGCGTGGGGGCGGAGGCATGCGCCTCCTGTCCTCGTCATCGCGGTGCTTCTTCTTGGTCGAGGAAGGCCGCCTGGTGAGACTTGCGTCGTTCCCGTGGTCGTAGTCGTCAAAGCCGTACGAGGAGGATGTAGATCGGACGCCCATGGCGGATGATGGCCGCTGGAATCTCTGGGCCAGATGCTGATGCTGAGGGCCCTGCATTGCACTCGGGCCAAAGTAGTCGGCCGTGTGTGTCGGGGATTGCGCTATCGGCGGGTAGTGAGGTCCTGGACTCGGGCCATACGATGGCGGGGGGTATGAAGTTGGGACGTAGGGCGCTGGAGAGCGATGAGGCGGGGCGTGAAGAGGCGGCGGGTGATGAGGACCTGGCAGGTGATGAGGACCCGGCAGGTGATGAGGAGGCGGGTGATGAGGAGGAGGAGGCTGGTGAGGAGGGTACCACTGCATGTTGGAGGGAGGTGGACGGGAACCCGTTCCGTAGTAGCTGGGAGGCCGCGTAGTCAGAGCTCGAGGTCGTGGCGCAGAAGACGGACTGACTCCGTAGAAGGACGATTCGTCTCCCATGCTTGTCGACCTTCTGTAATGGTCCTGAGAGTGCGAGTGCGAGTGCAGTACAGGCGCCGTTTTCGAGGACCTTGTCGTCGGGCGTCCGGAGGGTTTCTTGGAAGATCTCGGCCGATCCCTGTCCCTGTCCCTTTCTGCTCGTTCGCCATCCCTGTACCTTTCTCTCTCCCCGTCTCTTTCCCTTTCTCGATCCATTTCCCTTTCCCCTCTGGCGCGCATCTTGGCCTCCCGTTCTCTTCTCGACAAGCTTATGGGGTGGACGGTGGAGTCGGAATCGGTGAAGCCGTGATGAGGTGAGGATGAGCCAGACCTACTCCTCGACCTGTCTCTGCGCGACTTGCCTGTGCTGGGTCTTTTCCTAATGGGACTGGGCGCCTCGGAGACGGCGTATCTCTCAGTTCCTGCGATGACCGATCCTGTATCTTCGTTGGTGTCTTCGACGTACGAGACACGGGGTGGTTTCAGAGGCGGCATGATCTATGGGTCGAATCTTTGTGTCGCTAGTGGGCGAATTGACCCGTGCTCTCGAAACGGGGGCGCGGTGGATATTGGAGGGAGAGGCGGTGAAGCCTCAGTAAGAGGCGGACGCTTACGATGGTCGCAATATGGTTCAGGCAGTTGGGGTAGACAGAAGACGAAAACTTGTGCAGGAGACAAAAGTGGGAGCGGGTAACTTTTTGTGCGAGGGAAAAGAAGTGACGGTAAAGATGCAAGAGGGAAGGGTGCGTCCGACCAAAGGGTGGAGGGGACGAAGGGAAGGGGGGGGGGTGTGTGTGTGCGTCTGTGTGTGTGTGTGGGCGTTCGCTGTATGGACGTGGGGAGGCAGGGCGTCGACAGGAATTGTGTTGCAGCTTGCCTTGATGAGTGAGTGACTGGGGCCGGGTCAGGGTGGGCCGGATTAGGCTTCTGGCACCAGTTAACGTCCAAGTCGCTTAGGCCGGGATGCCCAGTGGGATCACCTTGGGCTTGGACAGGGGTATCCCTTCCGTAACGGTTAGTCGGTGCTGCTCAAATGCCTATTACGGGAGTATACGTATACTGGATGATGTGTGTGTCTTACTGGGTTGCGAATAGGGAACATGAAGGGTATTGAGGGAAAAGAAGAAGAAAAAGAATAAGAGCAAGAAAATAATAAGTAGAGAGGGGATAAAATTGTAAAGAGTAGGAGAAAGGAAGAGAGATGAAGGTTGTATGTAGGAGTGAACAGAGATGAGACACCAGACCAGCAAGTTATAAAGGGAGGGCAGAATAAGTAACGGAGAAAGAAAACCAATATCAAAAGTCCATCGTTCTTTCTCGGATTTTTATAAAGTACTCACTAAGTATGTCTACGTGATTAATGAACCACGATTTGGTACGCTGGAAGAAGCTGCGGTCCATTCCTTCCTGCCACCTGATGGATAACCAGGAGGAGGGTACATGGTACTGGTATATATAACGTATGCGCGGTTATGCTGTGCGTATGGGTAATAAGAACCTTGGATATCTAACAAAGGGCGGGAAAGAGATCGGATTAACTTGGGATGATTTTTTGTGACTGTGGTCTAAACAACAAACAGTACGGAGTAATACAGCAGGGACAAATATACGAATATATCTCGCATATGGTAAGGGATCAAATGTGAAGCCCGGCTTTTGGGGAAGGAAAGGTTTGGGGCGGGAAGGTGGAAGGGGTGAGGCGGGAAGTGGGAGGCAGGACATGCGTCATTAGGCCGTTGACAGACAAAACAGTCAAACATTCTGCGCCTTTGCATAGAGCGAATATAGGGACAAGACTCACCTGTTTGAGCCAACCTGTCTACCTTATTCATCCGATCATCTTTTTTAGCGGGTTTCAAGTTCCTGCTAGTTGAATGTTTCTTATATTTCTAACTCTATACCGGGATGTTGGGAAGGTGTTTGCCATCCGTGTATACATTCTTCAATTGTTCTCCGCTGCGATACTCCTCTCAGCACCTTTAAAGTACAATCCACAAGATAAAATGATCTGGCAGGGAGGGAGAGAGGGCGAGAAGCAGGGAGTGGAGGGGTACGGATACACAGGGAGGGGTATATTATGTACGAAGTGCGTTGTATGGTGAGTACCGCAGTGTTATGTATACCAATTTCAAGGCGAGGCGGAGGGGTAGACGACACGACACGACTATCAGGTAGGGAATCTGAATCATCTGGGGCACAGGAATAGATGGCAATGACGGGTACACAGTCAGAACAGTCAGACGGATTTGTCTGTGGAGCTGGTTGAACCCGATAAGACCGGACAGACACGTTTTTCTAGGCCTTCCAAACTAAGGTGCCCATGGATTCCAAGAAACTAGGTACAGGTAAGGTAGGTAACAAATCCCCAGAGATACGGGACGGTGATCCATGCGTCCCGTTATTGTGTACAGCGTACAAAATACAACAAGTCCCAAGCCTACCTAAACATACCCTGATTGAACCTATGAATACAAAGAGAAAGAGAGAACTTCCGGGTTGGAAATGGTGCCTTTGGATAGGGCGGGATCATACTCGATTAAAAATGCCAACCGCCTGGTTGATTCAGATGTACATGTACAACGTAGCTGCCGTAAAAGGGCATCTTTCGTACCACATTTAAGCGTGAGTAAGATAGGTACCTTAGGTAGGTAGAGAGAAATGCTCTTTTCCTCCGTCCATACTTTGTAGGCTTGTGGCTCCCTCCACACTCAACTAACATATCTCAAGTCTCACACATTTTCTGTCTGTGAAAGTAATCAATTTGTACGAAGTATTAAATGCTTTCTTTTGTATAACAACAATATCTCTGTCGACAATGGGGCAATGGGCCAAGCTCGGGTTCCGCTGGGTCCACAGTCCAAAAACCACGGCACGAGTCAGGCCCAACTGTGGAGAAATGAAGAACCTTGTGTACCTCGCCTCTTCCCGTTCGGCCCCCGGCCCCAAGGATCGGCTTCCTCGAATGGGGGCCCAGAAGCTCTTTATCGTCGCCCATGAAACGGACCAGGAGGCGGCACTCGACCACATTGTGATGGGGTGGTCCCGACACCGGATACCCGGCCAAAATGGATGCTCCGAGAGTCTTTAAGAATTTAACGAGACTGAATCGGGGTGTCTAAATAGAGGACGTGCTTCAGCATCGAGGCTTGGTGGTTCCCGTGACATTTGGGCGTCGCTCTCTCTGTCTCCCTCTCCACGCCGCCGCCCCCAACCCCAACCCCATTCCGTTTAATAATGCCTGACATGGGTTAGATTTGACTTTTGGGTATCAATGGAACGGACGGGCCGAACATTTAAGGGTCGAACTGCGGATTGGCCGACAGAGATTCCAGAGGTGGGTCAGGTGAACAACGCGGGCACTCCCCTAAGGTACCTGAGGTAGGTACCTTACGTTGTAAGCACTGTCTACCTTATTATCCCTACCTTACCTTAAGGTAAGGGTAAGGTACGTATCCGTACACCTAAGCGGATACACCGTACACCGTCTGGGTAACTTTACTGTAGGTGCTCCCGTACCGTATATGCGTACAACGGACAAAGAGTGCGTTTATTAGGTACCTAGGTAGGTACGCAGTAAATACGTGAGGTAATATGGCAGTGCTTTCTTCCAGGTGGCTCCCACCATCCATTCTTCTTAATATATTATTTATATGCCTTGCTTTCGGAATAACAAAAGTTGAGCTGCCCCAGAAAACGGAGAGAAAAGCAAACACTGTCATATATGAGACGGTGAGAAGAAACGCCATAGGTTTCTGGTAGTTTCTGGGTCGTCCGGCTTCAAACCACCATGTCGCCCTCCCTCGTTGCATTTTCTCTCCCTGACGGGAAGAGATTCGCAGAGAAGCCCCCAGACTCGCTCGCCAGCGCCGATTTGGTGTATCTTTCCTATTACTCGGAGGTGACCCTGTCTTGGTTGCAGCTATAGCGTTCCATGGAATGCAGTCTTATGCAAGTCCGTCTCCGTGCCCTTCTCTCATAGGGTGAGGCAGGGACCTTCGCCGAACGGAGCAAGGAAAACTGATCATTTTTGCCACATCCTAAAAAGACCACCTCTTCCTCGTTGTCCCTCCTCATTTCCGACACGCTGAACTCTTATTAAGCAATAGGAACAACTGCTTAGCATCTTGCCATACACGTGTACATCAGTATATGTACGGAGTACTACGCCTAAGTTATGGGACCAGGGCGTCTCGAATCGATTGGCCCGGATTCGCCATCATCATTAAAAAAAGCAATACCCACTGCACAGAGTATTTGAATACCTTAGGTATGGATGACGCCCGGCAGTCCAGGCCGTCCCCAACCCGGCATTGGGCCTTGGCGTGTCCGCTTCGGTGAGGACTCTTGGATGGTATTGACCGGCGATCTGATAATGGCAAGGGCAAATGGCATGTGCACATGACCTTGGATAACGCTCTGTATACCTTAATTGCAAGTCAGATTCAACGCACCTCAGAGATGGTAGCGATGAAGTCAAGAGATTTAGGTAAAGGTGTCTCGTTTTCGGCGAGGCGACCAAGGATTATTGGCTCCTAGCCTGGAATCTCTTGTTCTGGGTTGTATTCAGTCGTAAGATCCGCAACTAGTAACATGTTATCCGGTGGTGAGCGTTCTGAATGGGCAAATATCACATGGTGCAGTCTGAGACCGCAGTTCAGGTACCTAGATGACTAGGTGGTTCCTTTGATTCTGCTCTGAGTATTGCAATCGAGACGGCTCGCTCGTATGAGATGAAGCTAGCTGGTCCCTCCCTATCCAACGCCAAATAATCAAGGCAGCGGTAGTGGCTTCCCGATCAACTGCTGTATCCGTACCGGCCATCATGTGGAAGGTCGGACAGATCCCATTATGTTCATGAAGTAACCAGCCCTGCGCAGCGGATCATTGCCCGATTTGAGCGTCAGAGGCCAGCCGCACACTGTCCAAGGTCAATGTAGAGATCATGTGGTTGATGGAGATCCCGAATTCTAAGCTGTATATATCTATTTTGCAAAGTCGATATTTATGCCTTCCAAGATGCGATTTGGTAGAGTTCTCTATTAACAGTAAAGGAGAAAGAAGACAAAAAAATAAACGGGAGAGAATGTACTTATGGATCACATCTTACCAAAAAAGCAATTAACACTTCTAATAGGGAGTCAAGATTACCTAAGGTACACGTGTACGGATAGTTGGTAATTCACGCGTCGTAATCGTTTCGTCCGAATTTCCTCAGGGTTTGATTCAGCTCGAATAAAGAGCGACCTCGCAGTTCGTGACCCCTCAGGTTTGGTAGTTCAAGCTAAGAGTCACGCGATTATGTAAGAAACGGGCACCAGTGAACCCAGGTGCCTAAGTTGTATCGCCATCTATAAATACCTAAGGTACCTTCAAGTCGCACGTATCATGCCCCGACCATTGTGCCAACACTGTAACCCGAGTGCTGTCGTTCACAGAGGACGTTGGAGATTTACGGATACACTACTTCATACATGTAAGGCATAGAGTATTTCGTACTACGTGTTTCTCGTAAGGTATCAAATGGTACTGTGACTGATGAGCTGTTCCGTACGCCTAAGCCTGAAATACGAACTTATCTAGGTACCTACCTTACCTACCTAGGTACTGTCCAAGCTAGGTACTTCGTAAGTATGAGCCCCACCTGACCTCGGGGCGGTGTCTAATTCGTCCTCGAGAGAGCGTGCAGTCTATATCATTGGCCAGGCCGACGGGTAACTAAGGTACTGTAAGATCGCAGCCAAGTTTGCCAGTTTCCGTTGCCCCCCCGGCGACAGGTCCCCACCTCTTAAGGTATTATTTACCGGCGACCGCCAACGTTTGGTGACGACACAATTTGGTTGCTAGGTCAAGTAACCTTTCGCACCAAGACGATTCCGTACCTACCCTATATTTCTTACCACCTTACTTATTTCTGAAACGGAAATAGCAGAAAAAACACGCATTAGAAAAAGGAAGGAGATACTATCACCACGACGCAGAAGATAAAGCCGAAGAAGAGACAGAAGAAAAACCAGGAATAGGCGAGGTCTGAGGTGGGAGAGAGAAGAGGGAACTTCACCGGCGGACCTAGCGAGGTCGCTTTCCTTATTTATACTTTCCCCCTTCCTCTTCTGAAATCTATTGCTCCCTCATTCCATGCCAGCAAGGAGGGGGAGTGCTCAGGCCTGCCGCATACGAATGCCTCGCTCGATCATCGCCTACATGAACTCCCCCTCGGACCTCCCTCCCTGCTCCCATAGACAACCTCATATGTCATTCCCCGGCAGTATGCAGCTGCCTTAGTAGCAGGTATGTACGAATTTTGTCCCACGTCCCTAGGTCTTTAGGGCGGGGTGTTCAGACTCGGAGAATCACACAATGTCGGGCCATTTCTTAGTCTTGACCTCGTAATCACCGAGGATCTGTCTCTCTCTCTCTCGCTTATACGGAAAATTCCCAGCATGCCGCTAACGTCCAAAACATCCAGATCATGCCCCCCGCACCTCCCGATGAGCAAGACACGCCGGACGATGCCGCCCCTTCTACGCCCCGCAAAACCGATCCTACCAAGAATAACGACGGTGAAAAGCCGCCGACGGCACCCGTCGCCCGCAAGGCCGGCGGGACGGCTACACCCAGAATCGCACCTACTGCTAGCGCCGCTCGTCAACGATCATCTAGTAGTCGGAGGCCAAACGAACCCCCCTCGCTGCTGACCGATTTCCTCTTGGGCCGTCCGTCACCCCAGCGCATCGCTGCGCAGCGACAACGCCGGCAAAGTCTCGATGCCGTGAAGACCGAAATGCGCCAAGCTGCCGTCCGGAAGCTTGAACAGCCTGGTGGCGTACGGGACCGCGTGAAGCAATGGCAGAAGAAGAATGCCGCCGCTATATCTCAAGGTGACCCGGCTGCTACCCCGAGCGAGCCAACAGATATCGCGAGCTTTCGGGGAGAGATCGAGAGTGTGACAGAGGAAGACCGTGTGCGGATCAAGCTGAGGCAAAAGAAAAGACCTCCAGCCAAGCCAATTGTTCATCAAAATAACAAAGGCAGCAATGAGGAGGAGGCGAACAAGAAAAACGAGCCGAACGAGGATGGAGAGACGGGGGAAAAGGAGGGAAGTGCCAATATTCCTTCAGATGCCGCACCCATACGTCCGCGCTCACGCGGTCCACCGAAAAGGGTTGTCAGCGACACCAACTGGATGGCGAAAAAGAACAAGAAGAACTCGAACTCGAACTCGAACTCGTCCAAATCCCCGCTCAGGTACCAAAAGGATACGAGCACCGGCCCCAAGCCCATACCCAAAGACTTCCTTCAGCGAACCGCCGTTAATCCGCCCGTCTCGAAGAAGGTTCAAGAATGGGCAGCCAAGGTCGAGACCCCGGAACCCAGCCGTACGGCTATGCGCCGTAAGACAAAATCGAAAGACATGGGTGATGGCATCAGGGTTAAGCCAGTCAATTCTCCTCGAGATGATAGTAGTGTCTCGACATCCAGAACATCCCTTGTCCGAGACACTCTCGCAGATCAAGATACACGCGTTGAGCGGGGCCGAAGTAAAGGGCGAGATGACGATGGCATTCGCGTGAAACCTATCGATCGCCGATCCGCCAATGACGATGGCATTCGCGTGAAACCCATCGATCATCGCTCCGCCCATGACGATGGAATTCGCGTGAAGCCCATTGACCACCGCTCCTCCAATGCCGATGCCAGGGTTCGGCCGGATCCCAGCAGTTCAAGTACTGTCATTTCCGGCGACGGAACTGACTACCAGAGTGCATCGGCGCAGCAGAAAGAACCACGTCAGCGTGGACCCGCCACCGAGCATAGCGCTTCTCAAACTGAATCAATCATCGTTATGGGAGAGGGTGACTCTGACGGAGATGGGACGATCGAAGGAAGAGAATTCTGTTTTGACACGCCAAAGAACCGACCGTCCCGTCAGAAGAACCGACGGCCGAGCAGACCCAAACCGCACGACGACAAGGCCCATAGCGATGACGCATCGGAAGACCAATCTTCCGTAAGCAGTGATCAGTCCGCCGCGAGGACCGCCTTCGACAGGTCCGAGATATCTTCGAGCATTCTCACGAGCGCAGTTGGCGCCAAGTCGCTTGCGGACATCCCCGTTGGCTATTCGGCCTTTAGCGAACTTGATCTTTCGACGGGTTCGAAGGGCGTGAAGCGCTTCAAAGCGCAACGTAACCCCAGCTTTAGGGCTGTCCCTAACGTCTTCAAGAAGGTGGTAACAGGGGGCAAAAAAATACTTCAAGACGCTGTCGAGCCCCCGAAGCCGGTGGTCGCGAACAATCCTCCCAGTATCGAGAACTGGCTCAGTGGTACCATCGATCCCTTTGTCGAAAAGGCGAACGTTCCTGAACTTGCGGCCTCGAACAGGAATTCCCGGGAGCGTGAGAGAGTCCGAGATGTTGACTCCCACAAGCAGCGCTCGGCGGAGACGGGGCACCCGGCGCCTCGGCCTCCTGTGAAGACAGAGCTCGCTAGAGACGAGGTTGAAAGTGTCACAGAAATAACCGAAATAACAGAGACGACAGTCTTGTCAGAATCTACAGCGGCTCCTTTCAGATCCACTGACACTGCGACTCCGGTAAAGACACCAGCCTCGGCGGGACTGAAGAGGAGAACTGCCACTCGGGCCACCTCATCTCCTTTCAAGGCTGCGAACAAAAAGCCATTCAAAGAAGTTCTCAAGGAAGCCTTTATGGGCGAGTCTGAAGCCCTTAAGTTTACTCCTAAACGATATCCCAGCTACGAAACCAGACCCGATCCATCTTACGACAGCTACAGTGACGATGATTATTCAGAGACCCAACGTGATCGTTGGAGCTCTTCCGGATCCAGTGGGAGCTGGACCCGCGACCCCCCATCAACACTCCGAGACGAGAGGACGGATCATGCGGCGGGAATCCGAAGGCGACCCCCGACGAACGGGACACATGAGCTTTCGACCATCGTCGGCTCTGCCGCAGGCTATAGCACCCAGGAGTCCGACATGACATCCCATGTTTCCGACACCACCGTTACACAATCCACCGCCCTTACGAAGGAGTCGGGTGTCTCGCGGCGGCGGAGCGAAAAATCAACCTCTGGTCTAAAGAGGAGGTTGACAAAGCATTCTGACTTGGTATCCATGCTCTCTCTGCCCGACGATAATCATGTGCCTCAGGTGCTCAAGCAAGTCAAGTCACGACCTAGCTTTCGAGGGGCTAGATCTCGCTCGAACTCGATCGGCGTGGATGACCTTCTCCAGGAATTTGCAGACGATGAGAATCTCTATCAGAGAGAACTGAAGACACTTGTTGATGGCATTATTCCCGTCTTACTGACAACGGTGCTACAAGGCGACGCACAAGTCTCGTCGACTCTCTTCTGGCCTTATTATTCGAAAAAGATGATCGACTCCTTATCCAAGGCTGTGGTAACTATGGGAGTTGCGTTGGAGAAGCTGAAAAACGCCCACAGGAGGGCACCTCACTCCGATGTGAACCGGCTCATCAAATGGATGCAGGAGGTGGTTCCGATATACGACAGCTACTTGGATGCTTGGCGTTTGGGCTTCCAGGACCTAATAGTCAACCTGCTTCCTGCAGCGGGTCGCCTGGATGATGAAGACTCCCTTATCGGCGCCCTTCCGCGCAACGAGGATGGAGATGTTGTGAATGAGAACGGGGAGAGGGTCGACGTGGCTCACCTCCTGAAGCGTCCCTTGCTTCGGATCAAGCTGTTGACCAGGTGGGCTAAGGTACGCTGTTCCACCCTCAGCCCCTTAAATATTCGCGTAAAAAAAGGGGTTCCACAACTGACAATATCAGGGTGTGCACGTTCTGTTGTCATCGTATGAGACGCTCGCCTTATCCGGAGATTTTGAAATCTTGCAAGAGAAGGCTCGCCGCCGCTACAAAGAAGAGACAGCCCGCCTTGCGGATGAAGACGCGGCGAATACCGATACGACGAGAACCCGCGACCTCCGGACTCTAGCCCCTATTGAATCCGTCGAGATCGATTCAACCAGACAGGTCAATGCCAAAGACCTCTTCTCGCTCAACTTGGCCCACTCTACCGGACAACGATTGGAGTGTCAGGTTGAATTGATCCACCGGGATAATCCTGCTAAGCCCAATGACAAAGGAGACGTGCTCATCCGGGAGACAGGCGACGGGCGCCGGACATGGCTCTTATTCCCCCCAGCCCCGTGGTCGGCCGTTTCAGCTCGCCGAGGAGATGCGAAGTTCGAGCTGTTGATTATGATTCAGGGAAGCCACAATGGCAACCCTTGGTACGAACTCCTCAGCCTTGTCACCGACGACGATGAGCAAGTGTTGGACTGGTTGGATATTCTATCCACAACCCCTGTGCCGCCTCAACACCCGGCTCCGACCCAGTCAATGGACCCATCGCCCTCAACATCGTCACCTGTCCCCACAGATGCAGTCGTTCCAGTAGGCGGTCGACTGCAACAAGCCAGTCCTGCTTCGCCACGGACACGTTCACCCGATCCTGGAGCTGCGACTCCGGCGAAGCCGCCTAAGGCTAGTCGCTACCACAGTCGAGGCACCAACTCTCCCTTGAGCCAATCAACGTCTTCACCACAATCGCCTACCCGAACGAGAGAAGCCACGTCGACGCAAGACTTTTACGAGGATGGACAGAAAAGGCGATCGCTACGTGAGAGCGTATCTGTTGATGCTTCGTCTCCCGAGAAGTCCGTATCAAAAACCACACCCTGCCGCGATGACGGCGCACCTCCCCCACCAATCCACCGCACCCTAGGCTCCAGGGGACCACCACCCCCTGTCGAGCTTCCGAGCCCACACATTAAGCGGCGGACTTCTTCGCCGCTAAAAAATGAATACCTCCCATCCGATCATTCATCTGTAACGGACGGCTCACTGACAGCGGACTCCGAAACCGAATCGTCCGAGGACGAACTGGAGAGCACAGGCATCCCCGAAACTGAGCTCGGGATCAGCATCAAAGAAGCCGGGCCGAATTCTGGAAGGACCTCGGCCCACCCAGACTCCCTGTTACCTGAGTCCGAGTGCAGCTTGACTCCTTCCAACTCGGCCTCCCAAGCCGGCCTCCATGCTCCCAAAGCAAATACTCCAGAGGGCTACGCGAAATATATTGCCTCTGTATCTTACTGGTCTGACAAGAAAGGCATTTGGAAGGAGATATCGGCGGATCCCTGCTCTGTCGTAGTTGGCCCGGGTATCGTAGAGGCCCATGTCCTCCTTGCCAACAAACCCAAACCCGGCGTTGGGGGGGACACGTCTGACCATCTCAAGCCGCTCATTGCGCTTGACTTAACGCCGTTGGTGCTTTTACGACAGTCCACCGTGGTCGACCTTGAGATTCGCTCGGCCGTCCAGGACCACTGCCAACACAAGAACCTCGGAGGCGGAAACTTCCGCTTCCGTTGCCCCTCCAGCTCGGAATGTTACGATCTTTACATGGCCGTGCATCACGCGCGACTGAACAACCAGAAATTCATCCAGCTAGAGAACGATGCTCGGTTCAAGCAGTTTGGAGAAAGGCCCGGCGGCGGCAATGGGGGCGACGACAATAGCAGCAGTCAGCGTCGTGGTTGGTTTGGTCGCAAGAATAGCTACCGCGCCTCAACACGTGCCCCGTCCCGGTCACAGGAGGGAGGAAGCGTTGCGCCCTCCTCTAGCATCTCCGCCGCGAGCTTCCTCAAGCGGCTGACGGGCAACGGTAATCTATCGTTCAACATTGCGCGCTCCTCCGTCGACAAACAAGCTCTATTTGGGGGCGGCAGTGGCAGCAACAGCCTATACACGTCCGGGTCTTCCTCGTCCGGCAACGGGGCTTTCCCTCGCTCGCCGTCTGTTAGCATGTACTCCTCCGCGCGTACGGGTGGAAACGGGCAGCCTCTGTCTTCTGACAACATCCGCATCAGGCTGCACCTGCTCGCGACGCCGACAAAGTGGGAAGACTACGGCAACTGTGTACTGCAGATTCGCCGCCCGCCGCCGGGATGGCGTCAGGAGCTACGCGCCAACCACGGCCTGGAGAAGCGCATCACTGTCACTACGTCGCCGCGAAAGGAACAGGAGAAGGCGCGCGTTGTCCTTGATGCTGTTCTCGGATCGGGATGCTTTACGCCCATGGGATCGCGCGGCATCATCTGTGGCATCTGGGAAGAGCTACGTGGAGAGAATGGCGAGGTGGGCATAGTCCCTGCTACCGGTGGTGCTGGAGGTTCCATCAAGAAATGGTGCTTCCAATGTGCGAGCGTGGCAGAAGCTTCATGGGTGTTGCGACTGGTTCATCAGGAGGTCATCAGGGGGTAACAAGACCGGCCAGCTCTCGATGACACCAGTTCAGAACCGTTCATCAACTCTTTCCCTTTGTCGTTCTTTTTTCTTCTTTTATTTTCTTTTTCCTTTTCCCCGCCCCCTTCCCCCCTTCTTTTTTCTTTCCCCCCATCTCTCCCTCACGTACAGAGTCAGCTCCTGGACACTGTCCGCGTCTGCAACTTTCTTCCGGGTTTATCAGCCTTTTTTTTTTGTGTTCAGCCTTTTTCGCTTACAGTATTTAGTTGACTTCTGGTTTTCTGCATCTTCTCTTGAGATCCAGGCATACTTGAGGAAGTCGGGATTTCTCTCATTTGGGCAGTGGTTTTTCTTGTTGTTTATGCTGAGGTGAATGTGGAAATAGGCGGGAGTACGTCAAGGGAGGGCGAGCGTTTGTAACAGCATACAGAGGAAGGACAAAGGCGCTGGAGGATCTACGTCGGTTCACTACCCACATGTCGCATGTCTTATGACCGAAGTCATTGGCTTTGTCCGGTGGGATTCAATAATACACGTATGAACGAGGTGGTTCATAAGTACAACCGTTTTATTCGATAATTCGATATCCAACACGAATTAAGAACTAATTGGTCCGCCCCGGAGACCACGTTGCCGCCGCTTCTGGTCCAAGTTCTGGCACCCCCCTGAATGGTGGTCTCTTCGAGAGGTGAGAGACCCAGAGAAGGATATCTACCTATCCTCCGGTCACAACAGGCAGGGCCTGAACTGGATGACGGACAAAATCTTAAACAGACGGCTTCCAGATGGTCATGAGTCCTCCGTGGAAAAAGAAAAAAAGGAAAAAAAAAAAAAAAAAGACTTCAAAATTGCCGGTGCTTTCCCTGCTTCCGGAGGCGACATCGACCAACTGGACGTTGTATCGTCCAAGAGGCACAGGAGAAATGCAAAGCGGTTCGGTTCTGGGCGGCTGGGGTCCGGGGTCTGGGGGTACGCCCTCGGAGGTACATAAGTTAAGTTATCAGATCGAACGGGAAGGGGAGAGCCCCTGTCCCGAAATAACCAATCTTTCTTGCATGTTTGGCCAAGTGTATCGCCTCTCTTTCTCTCGTCGTCCTATCGAATGAACGAGAGTGGATAAAAGGAGATGGGAGAAACGCTTGTGTCCGTCCCCCGCGGACAAGCCGCATTCGTGGTCCGGGCGTCGAAGCCGAAGTCGGAGTCTGGGCCAGAGCAATACTTTGGGCAGTTGATGAGGAGATGAGAGATGAGATCGATAAGATAACTTAGGAGAGGCATGTACCTCGGGTAGCAGGCACGCGGCGGGACAATGCAGGTAAGTAAGTGTATGTAAAACCTCCACGACCACTGACGCATGCATTGGTCATTGATTAGCTTCGGCATCTTCTCTGAGATGGCCTTTTCCTGAGAGTCATCGCCCAGCCTCTTTTTTTCTTTCCCCTTGTCGTTCGTTTCCCATAAGAAGTACGGTATGGGGGTATGGGGGTTTTTTTTTCTTCTTTTTCTTCTTTTCTTTTTCCCTCCCCAACGTGTGTAAAATAAATCGAGAAAATAACCACGATACCTTTTCTAAGGTACCTAGGTGACCTCAGGCTAATGGCCTGATGGAAATTTTGTGGTTGATTACCTCGGGTCAAGTCGGCTGAGCTTTCGAGCCAGACTTGTCGGTACGTAGCTACCTTACGCAGTTATTTCATCAGGCCAGGTCATGATTCACGGGTCTCACAGTCTCACAGAAGACGTGGAAACACACGACGTGTGTGGCATGAGCCATGTCGTTTCTTCCAGTCGTTCCTGGGTTAAAGGGGAATATCATCTTAGAAGGAATGATGGACTGGTTACAAGAGAAAGCGGATCGCCTGACCGTGTGTGAGGAACTCGGAACAAGTCGTCGACATTAAGTATCTGTACTGTACGAAGTAGATATGTACTACCAACGGGTTGAAGGAGAGGCCGTTATCAGATGGTCGCCGCTAGATATACCCCCGTTAACTCTTGCCACTCCATTCGCCCCCACCCAAGGCTCCGGTAAGTAACGCCGCAACTGCAACTCGGGTAGGTAATTCAGGTGACAAAAACCATCACAATTGCCAAATCGCAATAGATGCGGGCAATCACGCCCTTTGGATCCAGCATGCCAGCGTCTCCGCTGGGACTCCCCACGCGGGCGTTTTACACTCCTGTTGTCAATTGTAGAGTGGCCGATGCCGGATGATGAACAAGGCTAGTTCCTACCTTATGTACGTGTACACGTAGAATTTCCCCCAGAGGACGGGGTCCTCTTGAGCCTGATCACAAGGTACTGTGAAGAGTGCCTGCTCACCAAAGCATCGCACTTGGTGTTTGGGACCGAACTTGGTATGAAGTCGGCGTCGGAGTATAGAATAGGGAAATACGGCATGAAACAATTGTTCCCAAGTCGTCTGATCATTCAAACAGCGACTCAATTATAGGTTGGCATTTGAGAGTCGAGCTATGCTGCCCTGGGACTGACTGGTCGAGTATGTACCTCTATCGTTTGACCCAGCACAATTTAAACCGGTGATAGTACAGAGCCCAAGCTGTGACCACGATATATACCTAAGGTAACTAAGGTAAGGTACGAAGTAGTATGTTTGGTGTCCGTTGCTCGCTGCCTCCATCTTTCCCCCAACTGAATGGAGGCTTCAGTGATGATTAGAATTCAAGTTGTTGATGGTGACTAATGCTAATGGGACCTACACTAGGTACCTTAGACGTCTATCTTAAAAATCATGTACTTCCGGATAGAGCCACGCCCACCATGTTCTCCCCCCCCCCC